AAACCCCTGGTGAAAGCCAAGGAGGGAAAGTGTGTGGCAGGGTACACCTTGCAGCAGCTGTCACTTGATACAGAGAAGATTACAAAAATAAAAACAGCCTCTGGAGCTGCAAAGAGGGCAATCTGTGAAGGCGCTCCAGCAGGGCCAGGGCCAGGGCGACGGTTCAAACCAGCCACAGTGTCAAAATGATCCCATGAAACGAACCAACTTAAAGGGGGTTTAGCTCTTCCCTTTTTTTGTCTTTGTGTTTTCCAGGATGTAGACCAGCAGTGAACCATCAAGAAGTTCCCTTGGTACAAAGAAGAGTCGAGCTTCACTGCGTTCTGCATAGTCATTGTCTTGCTTGCACGGCTGTGTTTGTGTCCCGTTATTGCTGTAAGTGGCTGGGGTGTTAACTAAGTGGCTGTGATGTTAACTATGCTACACAAGGAAAGGTAAGCACAACTTCTGGATGGGTTCTGGAATATCTGCAAAGTGGCTACAGAAAATGGTACATCCCTGGAGCATGGCCTCCTGGGCCTCAAACATATCAGTCACGTTTGTTTATATTCTCATTCTTTTGTTCCTTTCCTTTTGACCCTTAGCATCTCTCCAGCATCTTGCAGGGCAGAGGGGCACTGGGAGTGCTCCCGTGGCACCAAGCAATTCTTTTGAAACAACAAGGAAAGTGTTGCCCATTATATAGAAAGGGCAGAATTCCCGAGAACATGTGTGATCCCCAAAACCCTGATCATGGGGTGTTTGTCTGATCCAGGAAGCCATCATAAATATTAAAGAAAACCATTATTTGAGTACTGGTAGAGATTAAAAGACTTAGCCATAATTATTCCTGGTGAAAAACTGTTCGGCTGGTAAGGAACTTGAGGATTAGGCAACGGGAGCAATTTAAATTTGAATAGCAGGAAAGCCAGAAACAAAACATCTCCCACACTCAGCCGGCACCACTAAAGGTTGCTTCTGTAATGCCTAATGAAGCCACTTGTCAGGTCATATTACAAGGACAAAACTTGTAATAATTACTATTAATGTTTACTTGATATTATACCAGCAAGGGGCCATGTCAAACATTGGGGGTCTTTGACAAAAACAATCCTGTTGGTAACAGTTTCCACGGTTTGACTTTCAGGGGGTGGAACAACACCTGTCTGCACACATGACAGCATAAGCTATTTGAGGCCAGCACCCTGAAATGGCAGCACAGGGCAGGTCTGCAGTTTCCAGGCTCCCTTTCACCCTGGGCATGGAGCATTTGTGAGAGGGGAGTCGGGTGGAGGGGACAGCCACAACTCACCTGGCAGCACGTCCTCTGACTTCTGCATTTCCCCACGATCCTCATCATCACGGACCCAGAGCTCCACCTGTCCTCGATGGATGCAGCAGATTAAGTCAGGGGCAGGGCCTTGATACCCTGTTTGGGCAGCGGTTAAAGAGAGTTTATCCACTGGTACTGGATGCAGAATAAGCAACTGAAATTTGGGGAATGAAGCCAATGAACTCAAGGATTATACAAAGGACTTGAAGGACAAGGGAGGACGGACATTTAGGCTGAAAGGGAAGGCATAGCAGGGGGAAGAGGATGGTCCTTTTCAATCAGGTAGTGGACATGTGATCATAGGAAGCAAACACCAGTGCAATTCCAGGCAAATGAGTGGAAATGAGTTTGGACAGGACACACCAGGCAAGAGAGGGGGGGAAATAAGAATAACTGCCCAAGGAACAGCTGT